ACATTGACTGCTCCTTTCCTCCAGATGCTGCCTGGCCTGCTGTGTCCCTCCGGCCTCCTGTTTGTCTACCTTGGATTCCAGCATCTGCAATTTTCTTTTTCATCTCACCTCCATTCAGGGTGCAATGGAGACTCCAGGTCCACGGGAGACTCCTGCCAAATCTGGGCTCCTTGGAATTCCCTGCCATCACCAGCCAGGACAAAGATCAAGGGAGACTGTGATCCAATATTGATCTCTTTATAAACCCACTTGGCAATCCTCTGGATTCTGACTGCGTGTACAAGTGCTTACAAAGAAATTGAAACTACCCTCTCACTGGGTGTTTCTCTTTGGCTCAGGGGAGACACTTGAATTAGCCTAGGGTTTCACTATAAATACAACATGGAAACCACCTCACCACAATATAACCATGGAGCATAACCACACCAACAGGGCAAAGGGATAGTGGGACAGTGATCATGGTTAAAAGCACAAGAGTAGTCAAAACTAACTTAAATATTGATAGGCATTTTCAGAGTTATTGACAGATACCTTGTTGACTGAGTTGTTTATTCAAACAGCACTGCACTATCTGTCCAGTAAAAGAGGCTGCAGAAAGTACCAATCCTACAACGGATGCAACAACAATTATGTACTGCTCTTGTGGAATGCCTACAAACAAAAAAATAATACAATTAATAAAACAGATCACATGGAGCCAGGGAGAAAATGACAAGAACGCAGTCAATTGTCACAAAAAGCTAAATATGTTACAGAAAGCCTTGAATGATGGGAGTCTGCCAATTATACCCAGGTCTGACCTAGAGGTGGCTTCACATCGAATCGAATAGCATTGACTTTCATGTTCTTTGAAACGACTGAATTGTCGTTGGAAATAAGAACAACTGCCATTTGACAAATTGAATACAAAGACAATTAATTTGAACTTGAGAAGCACACATTGAACTTAAAGAGAAATTAGATAACTTTCATTCATATAGCACCCTTCACAACTTCATATGGCCTTGTTTGGAGAAATGCATGTACAAATATTTTTCAAACTCTGGCCCTAGTTCCATGACAACCACACATTTAGCTTCAATTCTAGTTTCTTTCTGCAAATAAACTACTCCTGTATATGAGATAATTGTATAACAAAACCAAATTAGGGACAGTAACAACATGGTTAGTCTCACAGGGAAGTTAAGAGCTAGCAAACTGTCTGTTGAATTGCTCCAAAAGTGCACTGGGCTCAAGGTCCTACCAGTGTTCATTTCCAAGCACCTTGATAGAGCTAAAGTGAGACACAGTCTCACAATTGAAAGGTTGAGATGAAACAGATTGGTCGTAGAATCTAAATAATGCTGTACACTGAACTTGGTCTGAAGTCTTTCTTGCTTTGATTCTATCCAGCTACGTAGCTATATTGCCCCTATAGAAACAATACTTGTTTGAAACACAGCCGGACTCTAAACTTAATTAAACTGAAGCAATTTGGTAGCACAATAAAGGATGCTGCTAAACATGTAATAACTCTCTCCGAAAGCAATGAGTTTGTTCTCTCACACAGGACTGGAGTACTCCTACCCATGATTAGATCAATTAAATGCACGCTTTGCCCAATGGCTGTTCGAAATATGAAGCGATAGGACTGGCCACTATGCGTGACTGACCAACCCCAATCGAGGGAAAGTTGCAGAGGCTCTTGTTAGACTTGTGCGAGGGTGGTGAGTTGCCTGGTGATACATACAACAGGATTTGTCCTCGTGACTCACTACGTTCACTGTGTGTGGGCTACCCAAGACACAAAAACAGCGGCCCTTTACACTCTGCTCTGTACTGATTCTGAACATTCCAAATGACTGTGAGCTGCTGCAACCAATTCAAAGTGGATTTTCCACAGACACCGTGAAAGATACCTTCATGCTCACTAAGACCATGCAAGACCTACAAATAGAGAGCAATAGCATGCCCATGTGACATTTGGACATTGCCAGCCTGTTTACCAACATACCACAAAGAAGCTATTGACATTTGCACTGTCATTATACCATAGCAATCTCATGTACCTCCTGTGTCTGAGCCTGTGTTCATCAAACTCATGAGCTGAGCAACTTGTGTCATTGAGCTCAGTCTTGCTAGAACTATACAAGATTACACCTTGAATACAGTGAACAAGTTGGTCTCTGAAATAACTTGACAGATGTCAATATCACATCACCAAGTCACCCTTTATTTACAAGTGCACAGTACATCGCCTCTGACCAGGTAGCTCAGAGCCAGCTCTCGGAGTGAACAGAAGCTCTGCTACCTGCTATTTATTTTTTTCTTTTTTGTTGCGTAGGTGTGTAGACACAGTGAAAACACCATTTGTGCAAATAACTTTATTAAAAGTTCTGCCGACAGGAAAAAAAACACCCACGTGGCCAAGGGACCAGTGACAAGCAGAGCCCTGCAGGGGCAATGCCTATGTGAAAGAAAAAGTGAAGAGGAGAGTAGGGATCAAATCAAAATCCCATTAGGAGGGAGAATAAAGCACTCCACACCCCCACCCCTCACGTTGCCCACTTCTCCCTAAAGACATCGAGTGTTGGTGGATACCGCATGCTCCTTCTCCAGAGATACCCAGGCTCGAACATAGCTATGGAAGAGGTGCAGTCAGTAATGGCCCTCTCCAATGCCCAGAAGCAGACCCATGAGGAGATCCTGCCCATTCCCTTCTGCACTGGGTGCGCAAAGATGAGGAGTGTGGGGCTGAAGTGCGACCAAAAGCAGAGGAGAAGGTCTTTGACATAACTAAAAAGGAGGTGCAAATGCCCACACCCAATATATACATGGTCCACGGAATCCACAGAACAAAGATTTGGGCCAGGAGTCCATGAACCATGGCAATCTGTGGTTACAAGGGACCGCTGCATGCAAATACCCTCCATCCCAGATCCCCGAGGAAGGACTCCCATGTAGAGTGCCCTCTGCTGGAGATCCCCAGTGCCCAGTGGCAAATGGGCACCCGGGAAGTGGATAAAGGAGAAGAGGTGGATGGCATGCACAGCAGCAATCTGTATATGGCCTGCCGTTTCATTTCTTTAAAAGACACGGGACAAAACTTCCAGAGGCGGCTCAGGACGTGGGGCACAGGGTCCCGGGGCTGATGTGAAATTCCGTTCGGGCAGGGGTATGCCCAGACGGGATTCCACTGCACCTCATCGTCCAACCGGTGCACAACGTCGGATCGGAGCACAGCTGTTTTAAGGTGTTGGATGTCAGTGGTCACCATTCCTGTTTATATTTGTCAGCAGGGCTCCCTGATTGGGGGCTGTTAACCTGATCAGGCAACTCATATTCTACGAGGCCCACCTGACCAACCTCACGACAGTCCCCTTATCCACAGGGAGGTGTATTAGCATTGGAAGCAGTGTCCAGACAGGATTCTCCAGGTTGTTTCAGAGATAGTAGGAACTGCAGATGCTGGAGAATCTGAGATAACAAGGTGGAGAGCTGGATGAACACAGCAGGCCAAGCAGCATCAGAGGAGCAAGAAGGCTGATGTTTCGGGCCTAGACCCTTCTTCAGAAATGGGGGAGGGGAAGGGGGTTCTGAAATAAATAGGGAGAGAGGGGGAGGCGGAAAGAAGATGGATAGAGGTGAAGATGGGTGGAGAGGAGACAGACAGATCAAAGAGGCGGGGATGGAGCCAGTAAAGGTGAGTGTAGGTGGGGAGGTAGGGAGGAGATAGATCAGTCCAGGGAGGACGAACAGGTCAAGGGGGCGGGATGAGGTTAGTAGGTAGGAAATGGGGGTGCGGCTTAAGGTGGGAGGAGGGGATAGGTGGGAGGAAGGACAGGTTAGGAAGGTGGGGACAAGCTGGGCTGGTTTTGGGATGTGGTAGGGGGAGGGGAGATTTTGAAGCTTGTGAAGTCCACATTGATACCGTTGGGCTGCAGGGTTCCCAAGCGGAATACGAGTTGCTGTTCCTGCAACTTTCGGGTGGCATCATTGTGGCACTGCAGGAGGCCCAGGATGGACATGTCGTCGGAGGAATGGGAGGGGGAGTTGAAATGGTTCGCGACTGGGAGGTGCAGTTGTTTAGTGCGAACCAAGTGTAGGTGTTCTGCAAAGTGGTCCCCAAGCCTCCGCTTGGTTTCCCCCGATGTAGAGGAGGCCACAACAGGAACAGCGGATGCAGTATACGACATCAGCAGATGTGCAGGTGAACATCTGCTTCATGTGGATTGCACAAGACTGCACGAAATGGGAAAAGGATTAGGGTTGTTCACCCCTTACAGCCTGCTCTGCCATTCGATAGGATCATGGTTGATCCGGAATTCCCGAGTTCTCCATTTAACCCTTGAATCCCCGTCTGATCAAGAATCTATCTCAGCCTTAGCCATACACAGGGAGTCGGGCTCCAAAGCGCTCTATGGCGAGGAGTTCCAAAGACACACAACCCTCTGATGGAAGTAATTCCTCCTCACTTCAGTCTGAAATTGGCACCCTTTTATTCTGAGACTATGTGCTCTGGTCCTGGACTCTCCCAAGAGGGATAATATCCTCTCAGCATTTACCTTGTCAAGCCCCTTAAGAATCCTTTCTGTTTCAATGAGATCATTTCTCATTCGTTTAAACCCCAGCAAATAGAGTCCCAATCTGTTGAGCCTTTGCTCCTAAGACAATCCCTCCATACCAGGGATCATCCCAGTGAACCTTTGCTCCAATGGAATGATATTTATCCACAAAAAAAAAGGAGAGTAAACCTGCTCACAATACTCCAGTTGCAGTCTAACCAGCACCTTGTAGAGTTGCTGTAAGAATTCCTTACTCTTATATTTCAAGAGGTTTCGAGTAAGGACCAACGTTCCATTAGCCTTCTCGATTTCCATAACAGACCACAAATCTGCAAGATTTGGAAGAGAATTAGGCTGTCCAACCCATTGAGTCTGCTTCGCCAATTGTTCATGGCTGATGTGCTTTAATTCTCCTGCCTTCTCCCTGTAACATTTAATCCCCTGATTAACCAAGAACCTCTTTCTCTTTCTTAAATACACTCAATGACTTGGCCTCCACAGCCCTCTCCGCGATAACAGGTTTCACAGATTAACCACCTCTGGCCAAAAATAAATTCCTCCTCATCTCAGTTCTAAAGGGTCATCCCTTCACGGAGGCTCTGTTTTCAGGTCCTAGTCTCTCCTTCCACTGGAAACATCTTCATGTACGCTCTATCCAGACCTTTCTGTATTCTATCAGATTCAGTAAATTTCAATGAGGCCCCTCTGATCCTTCTAAACTCAATTGAGTACAGATCCAGAGTCCTCAACTGCTCCTCATATGACAAGCCCTTCATCCCCAAGATCATTCTTGTCAACCTCCTCTGGACCCCCTCCAAGGCCAGCACATCCTTCCTTAGATACAGGACCCAATACTGCTTAGAATAATCCAAATGCGGTCTGACCAGAGCCTTACACAGCCTCATCAGCACATCCCTGCTCTTGTATTCTAGCCCTCTCAAAATGAGTGCTAACATTGCGTTTGCCTTCCTAACTGAACCTGCATGTTAACCTTAAGAGAACCCTGAACAGGGGCTCTCAAGTCCCTTTGTGCTTCAGACTGCCAAAGCTTTTCCCCCTTTTAGAGAATATTCTACCTCTCTGTTCGTCCAACTTTAGGTATATCACCTCACACTTTCCGACATTGTATTCCATCTGCCCTTTACTTGCCCACTCGCCTCGCCTTTCCAAGTGCTTCTGCAGTCCTCCATTTCCTCAACACTACCTGTCCCTCCACGTATCTTTGTCATCTGCAAACTTAGCAACTATGCCCTCTGTTCCATCATCCAGATTGTTAGATATCTCATGTGAAGAGTTGTGGTTCCAACACTGACACCTGCAGAACTCTACTAGTCATCGGTTGCCATTCTGAAAAGGACCCCTTTATCCTTAATCTCTGCCTTCCATCAGTCAGCCAATCCTCCAACCAGACCAGTATCTTATCCCTAATGCCATGGGCTCTCAACTTGCTTAGCAGGCTTCTCCCACGCAGCACTTTGTCAAAGGCCTTCTGGTAACCAAATAAATCATGTCCACTGGCTCTCCAATGCTTAATTTGCTCATTAACTCTTCAAGGAATCCTAACAAATTTATAAGACATGACCTCCCCTTAACAAAGCCATGCTGACTCAGCACTTTAAGTACTACCTGTTGCAGCCATGTGGTAGCCCGCTTAGTTTGTCTGATAATATTTTTTAATGATGGTAATGGCATTCACTTCTTCCCCCATATTCTTTAGTCCTAATGGAATGTTCAAAGTATCTTCCATTGTAAACAGACAAAAAAATCTGTTTAACTCCTCTGCCATTTCCTTGCTCCCCATAAGTCTCCCCAGATTCATTTTTTAAATAGTCCTATGTTCACTTTGACCTCTCTCTTCCTTGTTACATATTTACAGAAGCTCTTACCGTCAGCTTTCATTTTCCTCACTAAATTGCCCTCGTAGTTTATTTTCACTGTCTTTATCTTCTTTTTGATCCTCCTTTAATAGATTCTTAACTTATCCCATTCTTTGGGGTGCAGTACGCATGTAGTTCCATAAATCCAGCTTACCAAAAATAGTTACTGTGTAATCAGCCCAGACAGAGCTGACAGGATTGATTACGACACAGGTGTACGTCCCACAATCATCTTTCCCAGCATTCGGAATGATGAGGCTTCTGTTCCCATCTACTCGTTGGTGATGTTGAGAGATGTTCCCTCCATCTTTCTGCCATCGATACTCATGAGGCTGCCCAGAAACATTACAGGTCAGCATGATGGTCGAAGCAATGAAGGTGGAGTTGCTGAATATTGAAGGGTTTGATAGTTCATCTGAAAGCAAAACAGATTAAAAGGACTTGCAGTATTGAAATCTCCACTTGCAGTGAAATCTGACTGTACAACCTAGTAGGAAACTTTTTCAAAACAACTTGCTTTTATTCAGCACTTCATTACATCCAAAGCACTTCCTAAAGTATTTCACAGCCATTTCTAAAATACAGTACTTAGGTGACTGACATGGTCACAAATTAGTCCACAAACAGGGGTGTGTCACAATGTATTTTAAAAGAGTTGGAAGACAGTGGCCAAAAGGAGAATTTTGTAGTTTGTAGGAAAGTTTGTAGAGTGTAGGATGTACTTCCCCAGCTAATACACTGTAATACCATAGCACAAGGTGTTCAGTTAATCTGTTTGAATGGAATGTTTTAATCATGTATTCATTTAAAAAACAAGGGCTTAATCTTTTGCATCTTAACAGGTTAAGCAAGTCATTGAAATAAGATTAAAAAGATCAATGCAAACTCATCCAATTGTCAGTGATATCAGACTAATTCACTAACATGACTGACAAAAATACATTATTTCAATCAGTTGGAAGTCTTATACTTTGGGCCAACACTTCTACATGCAAAGACTATGAGAACTTTGGAACTCTCTTCTGAAAATTATAGTTGAGGTTAGATCAATTATAAAGTTTAAATCTGATATTGATCCATTTTTGTTAAGTAACAGACTTAGTAATATGGAATTAAAACAGATACATGCATTTAGATCACAGATCAGGCATGACATTATTGAAAGGTGGAAGGGATTCTTAGCAACAAATTGTCTAAATATGTTCCTGTATTCCAACTTCATAGATCATAGAATCCCTACAGGGTGGGAACAGGCCACTCGGCCCAACAGGTCCACACGGCCCCTCCGAAGAGCATCCCACCCAGACCCATTATCTTATCCTTGATTTCCCATGTCTAACCCACCTAATCTAAACATCCCTGGGCTCAATGGGCAATTTAGCATGGCCAATCCACCTACGCTGCACATCTTTGGACTGTGGGAGGAAACTCACGCAGACATGGGGAGAATGTGCAAACTGCACACAGACAGTTGCCCGAGGCTGGAATTGAACCTGGGTCCCTGGTGCTGTGAGGCAGCACTGCTAACTACTGAAGCACTGCGCCACCCCAACTTCTTTGTATTTTCCACAGGATATGGGCATCACTGGTTAGGCTATTACATAATACCCAGCCTTAATCACCATTTAGAAAGTGGTGGTGAGCTGCACACTTGAAAAGCTACAGTCCATCTGGTTTGGATACCCCCAAAGTGCTGTTTGGAAGAGATTTTGACCTTGTGACAGTGAAGGAACGGTGATACAGCTCCAAGTCAAGATGGTATTTGGCTTGGAAGGGAACGTGCAGGAGATAGTGCATCATATTGTACCAAACTTAAAAGAAAAAGCACAAAAAGTTGTGCAAAGACAAGTTACAGGTCAGAAGATTAGATAAAATATGAAAAGAAGCAAAAAGCAACCAAAACAACTCAAAAGAACGAAAAATTAGAATACGATTAAAAGCTGGCCAGAAATATCAAAACAGATGAGTTTCTATAAATATTTAGAGAAAAGGAAGTGAGTGAGCGAGTGTTGGTTCTATCGAAATAGCGTGGAGAATAAATAATGGAAAATAAAGGAAATGATAGTGAATTGAGTAAGTATTTTACAGCCATCTTCACTGTCAAACATACAAGTAACATTCCAGAAGCAGCAATAAATCAGAAAATGGAAGGGAGTGAGGAACTTGGGAATATCATAATCACCAGAGAAGTGGTACTAAGTAAATTGGTGGGGCTACAGGCGTTATCCAAAGAAATAATGGCAAGTGAGATAGCTGATGCATTGATTTTAATTTTCTAAAGACTCCCCTGATTTTGGGACAGTCTCACTACATTGGAAGGTGATAAATGTAACTCCTATATTTAAAAAGGGAGGGAGAAATAAAGCAGGAAACCATTAAGCCAGTTAGCATCAGTCATATCAAACAAACACAAAAATCTGCCTTTTAACAGAAAAACACAGTGTATAAGACTAAATTGTCACCAGGTACTCTCATTGATAGTGCATCACAAATTAAATTGTGAACTCTCAATGTGCACTTACGAAGCATGAAGAGTGAATACATTTTTTCCAAACATTGAGCTTGTGGTATTAATACAGTTGGGGTCAAGAATCAGGATGCAACTGAGCACTGAAGTGAAAGAGGCAAGTTCTGTCCAGTTTGCTCAGAATCAGTTTAGTTCAGATCTTGCAACCCGGGGCACTCCTACATCAGGACCTTCCCTCAGGTTTTCCCAAACACAGGTCTGGAAGGCTGCTTGAGGAAATTCCACTGCTGCGGTCCCAGGCTTTTTGTGCATGTGTACTTTGCCATAGGCAAATCATTCCTACCTGATCACGAGGCAAACTTACCTATTACCCAAAGTCGAATGGCTTGCACCGTGACATTTTGCAAATTGATGTGAAGTGTATAAAGACCTTGATCTGAAGCGGTTAAATTGTGAAGGACAAATGATCCATTAAATGGGAAGACATCAAGGCGACCATCGTACTTTTTTAGCAAAGGTGGTCGTGTATCTCCTTTGTGAAACTGCAGTACTGGTATATCTGTATTTCCATGGGTTAATTTCCATTGAAAGAATTCAGCCTTGTTCTTTTGCTCCTCATCCACTCCAGAAAGGGAGACAGAGCTTCCAGGAATACAGTGAATGTTCATTTCAGCTTGAACTGCAAAAAAAAAACAATTATTATCCCAGCCCAGTGTTTACTGTTGATCCATGTCTCAAATAGATCACTCTCTCATTCTTTAATATTTTGAGTTTTTAACAGGTTGAGCAGTTCACTGAAAAATAAACAGATGAAAGGTCAATCAATATATTGTCAGCGATATCTGACTGACTCTGAAACTTTCCTCATTCCCTTGTTCTCATATTACCCCTCCACTTGATCTCACCCCTCTCCCCACAACTGCTCATGCTCTAATTCCCGTTTCGTACACCATCTCCCTCCCTCTTTATCTTTCCCCAGCATCCTCTCCCCCTCTCTCTCCCACATCCTCCTCTTCTGTATCTGTCCCTCAGCCACACCCTTTGTCCTCAATCATACTCCATCTGCGTATCACCTCCTCTCTCACTCCCTCACCCCTTTCCCTAATTCTCTCACTCTGTCTCCTTTTCTGTCACTCTCCCACTCCCATTACTATTCCCTCTCTCACACCCACTGTAATTCCATCCCTGTCCCACTCTCATCCGTCATTCACTCCCACTCTCATCCGTCATTCACCCTCACTCCCTCAAACGCCCACTCATGCCCCTCTCTTTCAAATGCCTTCTCTTGGCCACCCACACTGCCTCCTGGATATTGGATGCCAGTTCCAGAATTCCATCACCACATCATAGGGCGAGATCAGGGTGGGTAGGATGTGGGGCAGTGGGGAAAGATTTGGATAAATACGTCAAAAGATTTGAGAGAGAATTACAGGGCTATGGAAAAGAGCTGGGAGGGGGAAATGCTAAGAAACTATCAAGAAGCTGGCAGAAATGGACTCTATTTGTGCTGAATGACTCTGAAAGTTAACCCAGGGTTCATCAAGGAGAGGTCAGGAGTGATAACACAGTGTGGAGCTGTAGGAAAACAGCAGACCAGGCAGCATCAGAGGAGCAGAAAAGCTGACATTTCGGGGGTTGGGACCCTACTTCAAAAACGTCAGCTTTCCTGCTCCTCTGATGCTGCCTGGCCTGCTGTGTTCCTCCAGCACCACACTGTGTTATCTCGGACTCCAGCATCGGCAGTTCTTACTATCTCTGAGGTCAGGACTGAAATTGTGTTCCCACAGTGACAATCGATGCAGAGTGCCAGACAGTAGGAAAGTGGATATTACATCAAGAAGGAGAAGGCAGCCTGTATTTAAAGCCGTACCCGAGGAGAGGTAGGAAAGATGGGGGCACTTCATTCAGAGAGTGCCCTGCATGCATTGAAGCAGCCACCAAAGATGCCACCTCACCCTTGGTTTCTGCCCTACCTGCCTGACTGATCCTGCCCACTCTATCCCACCCCTCGAACCATCTCTGGGCGACAGGTTCCCTCCCTGCCATAAAACCCTTTAACATCCCCTCTCAGGGCAGTCATGATGTTCTTATGGCCTTCTCCTGTAGTCCCAAAAACTAAGCCTCACTTTGCGGAAGTGACTGGATCACTTTCCCACTGCCTGGCATTCTGCCTCAATTGTCACTATAGCAACAGGATTTCACTCCTGACCTCTCCTGGATGAGCCCTGGGTTAACTTCCAGAATGGTTCGGCACAAGTACAGGCCAATGTGCCTACTTTAAAAGGTTCTTGTGAAGATTTGTAGTTTGGGTTGTGGGTGAGGTTACTGACTTGTTCGCCACTACCACCACAAGGAATCAGGAAAGTACACAAACACACAGCCATGCTACGACAAACACTTACAAAGGACCAAAGACCCCATTACCCACGATATGCACGACCAACGTAGTGTACAAAATACCGTGCAAGGACTGCCAAAAACATTACATCGGCAAGACAGGAAAGAAACTAGCCATCAGGATACACGAACACCAGCCAGCAGCAAAACAACACAATGAACTTTCCCTCATCTCAGTGCACTCGGACAATGAAGGCCATCAATTTAACTGGGACAACATGACCATCCTAGCTCAAGCCAGTCACAGACACGCAGGTGAATTCCTAGAGGCCTGGTTCTCCACCCATAATGCATTCAATAAACAAGTGGGATTAGACCGTGTATACAAACCCACGCAAAAAAAAAACAAAAATGACACAAAGCACCTCAACAGACTGGATCATATCAATACTAAATGGAGTAGAACAACATCGCTTCATCGGAGGACGCACTGATGATGTTACCTAGCACGGGTGACGAAACGTCTGAACTATAACCAGCCAGTTCAGCGAGCAAGTCAACAACCTCATTCTGCCGACTACGCTTCTGCCAGCTCCTTTGATAGAGTTTCTAAACATTTCCCCTCTCCCCAACACTTTCCTGTCGCCCTGTAAGTCTCTAAACTCTTCGAGGCATTTATCCAACTCTCTCTATCCACTCCCTGTTGGATATTAATTGCTTGTGGTGGATGAGTGAGGTACGGTGGGATGGGTGAGGAGATCAGGGTGGGTACCCAACCCACCACCATCCCGAACGCAATCGGATTGCACCATCTTTCAGGCAGTTCTTTCTCGAAGATAATGCCGCACTGCAGAAGTAAATATCTCAGCTCCCTACTGTTCTTCATTCCCCCATCATCTCAAATCTCTTCAGGATTTAACTCTTTCATAGGTTGTGGTCATTGCTGAGGAGACCAGCGTCCATTGTCTATTCCTATTTGCCCAGAGGGCAGATAACAGTTGCTGTGGGAGTCACACCTCAGCCAGAACAGGGTTTTCTGCTTGGCATAAAATGGGCACTAATGAACCAGATGACTGTTTTTTGTTTTTACAAACAACCAAAGTCCAACTGTCTGAGTCGCTTTCTCCCAAGTCAGGTTTGCATGGCTGGAGAATCTCTGCTCTTGGCAGCTCACAGCTCAGGAGTGAAGATTCACCCCAAAGTATCGCAATGGCATAGAAGAAGGCCATTCAACCCATTTAGTTCATGCCAGTTTTCTGCAGAGCAATCTCATCAGCCCATTGGCCCGCCCCACCTCCCCCTGTGAACTCTGCCAGGTAATTTCTTCAAATTTCAACCCACTTTGCTTACATGGGCAGCGGGTGCATAGTTCATTACCACTGACTGTGTAAAAATGTTCTTCTTCACATCTCCCTACATCGCTCACCCAAAGCATTTACCTGCATGGTTTAGTTCTTGCAATATCAGCTAACAGAAGCAGCATTTCTTTACCTTATCTAATCCTGTGATAATCAGATATAATTTGGTGAAATTTCAACTCAATCTCCTTCACTCGGAGGACAACCACATCAGCTTCTCACATTTAATCTTGCATTAAAATCCTCTGTCTTGGAAACCACTCTGGAAAATCTCTGCATCTTTTCTAAGGCCCTTGCACTCTTCCTCAAATGTAACGATCAGAATTGAATGCAATCCTCTAGCTGTGGCCTACATTTTTGCCTTTTGCGCTCAATAGTTCTATTTGTGAAGCCCACATGTCCATAATGTTTTGCTGACTGCTCTCTGAATACGTTCAGCCATCCTTAAGGATTTCTACATGCCCACCCACTTTCTGCTCCAGTGCAAGCTTGCATCTGCATCATTTAATCTACCTCCCTAAATAACCAGCAAAAATGTTGATAGGAATTTAAATGTGCATATTCCACACTCTGAGACAAATACAAAGATATTTGATTTCACAGAGAAAGCAAAGTCAAAAGGCAAAGTAACAACTTACAAGGCCAACTGAGGGATGCAATAAAATACTTCACACTTGCACTCCAGCAACACACGAAAACCTCTCACTATCGAGGTATCAGCTATCTGGTTGATTTCCCTTGACATTGCTCAAGGGAACGTCTAGTCCCAGCCATCTTCAGCCATGACCCTCCTTCCCCGCTTCCGCCCCCATCAATGGATAATGAAGCAGACCTTGTCCGTTTGCAACAGACCTGGACAACATTCAGGCTTGGGCTGATAAGTTGACATTTGTGCCACACAAGCGCCTGGCAATGGCCACCTTTAACAAGAAAGAATCTAACTAACTATCACTACTTGATATTGCGGAATCCACCACTACCAACATCCTGTGGAAGGGGGGGGGTTCCACTGATCAGCAACTTAACAAACAAATAAATACTTTAGCGACAAGAGGAGGTCAGAGGCTGGGAATTCTGTAGTAACTTCCCAGAAGCTCTCTACAAGGCACAAGTCAGGAGTGTACTGGAATATTGTCCCCTTACCTGGACAAGTACAGGTTATGCACACTCAAGGGAGTTCAGCACAGCCAGGACACAGCAGCCCACTTGATTGGAATCCCAGCTTAACCCCCTCCCCCATCCCGACCTTAAACATTCCCTCCCTGCACACGGCTGCAGCACTGGGCACTATATAAATACACACTTCAGCAACTCATCATGTCTCCTTTGACAGTCCCTTCCAAAGCAGTGACCTGTACTACCTAGGAGAATATGGTTAGCAGATGCATGGCAACATGACTACCCAGTAAGATCCCCTCCAAGACATGCACCATCTTGAGTAGGAACGATGCCGCTGTTTCTTCACAGTCAGTGTTTCAAAAAAAAACCTGGAATGCCCTTTGTAACAGTAACTACACAACATCACCACACCACACTGGTGCAAGAAGGCAGCACACTAACACTTAGGGATGATCAACAAATGCTGGCCTAGCTAGTGACATCACATTCATGAAAGAATTTTTTTTTTCCTAAAATACCTTCCACCACCAACAACATCATTGGAATGTGTAGCAAGATGCACTGCAGTAACTAGTTCCATCGATAGCACCTCCCATACCTGTGACCTTGCACCACCTAGAAGGACGTGTGGAGCAGATGTGGAGGAAGTCTATCCCCTCCTCCAAGTCACACACCTTTCTGACCTGGATATACATCGCCATTCCGGAGTCCTTCCCAAATCAAAAACTCTGTTCCTTAACCACACTGTGGGAACACCACAAGGACTACAGAATGTCAAGAAATGGGGTCACCATTACCCTCTGAAGGTCAACTAATGATGTGCAATTAGTGTCAGCTTTGCCAATAACACTCATCAAATCAATTTGTAAAAAGCATATTCATTTAATATTTCTCCAAGCACTGACTCAGCACATTTAGGACAATTAAATGTGGAGGACTGAAGAATTGTGTAAACATTCACATTCCCACTTACCTGTGCTCCACTGTAGGAAGTAACCCAGTACAAATAACATTCGAAACGAGTGGCACATTCTATCTGGGAGAAAGCGCCAGCCAAAACAGAGCACTTCTTGCAAAGCAATTCGCTATCTGTAAAGTTGGAAATTAAAATGTATTAGAGACTTCAGGATGGCCCAAAGAATTTTACACGTGTTGTAATCTGTTCACTGTTTCAATGTAGAAAATGCGACAACCAAACTACCACGAGCAAAATAAAATTATAATAATCAGATAGCCTTTTTGATTGAAGGATAAATATTGATCAGGACCTCAGAACATCCCAGTTGTTTTTCAAAACAGTGATGCTAGATTTCTTTTGTCTATGCGAGAGGAAAAACAGCTTGTTCAAATAACAGAACTTCCAACAGAGCAATACTCCATCATCGCTTGATTTGTTAGCCTAAATTTCGCACTCACGTCTCCAGTCATTTAGTACAGATCCTAAAAGACTGTCTGCAGACAGACAAGCATCTAATGATTGTAGAAATACACACAAGATTCAATACAATTGTGCAATTTCATATTAAGCAGTCTCAACAATTAACCAATGTTCCAAAGACAAGACATTCTTAAAGAACAGTCACTGGCTTAATTATTATTTTGGTACAGAAGCAGAGAACATAATAAGAGTCAGAGATAACACAGCGTGGAGCTGGAGGAACACAGCAGGCCAGGCAGCATCAGAGGAACAGGAAAGTTGACATTTCAGGTCGGGACCCCTCTTCAGAAATGGGGAGGGGGAAGGGAGCTCAGAAATAAATAGAAAGAGGAGGGGTGGGCTGGGGAAAGGTAGGTAGGATGGTGATAGGTGAAGTCAGGGCCCTCTGTCTGCAGGAAACATTGGCATAGTGGTGATATTACCCAGACATTCACCAAATCATAGCTTCGAGCAAATAGCCCAAACTTTTCCATCACCATCCATGGGTGTGAATTCTTCCTTCATCAACCCTGTTCAGACAGATGATGGCACCATCTTTGGAGCAGGTAGGACTTGAACCAGGGCTTACATGGGTCAGAGGTAAGGACACTACCACTTTGCCACAAGACCCTTTTCCAATTCTACGTATGTATGATTACTGATACATTGTTGTTCTACCCAAATATCACTCAAGAAAGGAGGCGTTGCACACAAGAGCAAATTCAGACTGAGAGGTAACAGTTCTGAGATAACAAGGTGTAGAGCTGGATGAACACAGCAGGCCAAACAGCATCAGAGGAGCAGGAAAGCTGACGTTTCAGGTCTAGACCCTTCTTCAGAAATAAGTAACAGTTCGGTTCTCTTGCACAGCCGATGAGGTGGTAGATTGCCTGTGAATTGAGATCTGAAGGTGTCACTTTTAAAAAGGTTTCCAGAATTATCTCTACTTCATAGAGATAACAATTTCCAATAGCAATGAAAAATGACATAGTGAAAGTAGTGTGTAAGAAGCACTTGTACCCACACAGACAGGCTGTTCAGATTATAAAATGACTTCAATCTGCACTGTGAGAAAGTGTCTGATTACTTGACACAATTTCTCCTCAAAGGGTTGCACTACGCTCACAGAGAAATGCATACTGGAAGTGACAACCCACTTAGCAAACAGAGAGTCACAGGCTCAGCCTGCAGTAATTAAACGGCACCTTCAGGTCCACATTCCTTTCCTCCCTGGATTCGGCATCAAGCCCATCAGCGCTGAGCTCCTGCATACATCATCCAACATTACCCCCTGAGCCATGTTCTTAAAGCCTAGTCATGCCAAATGTCATGTTGCTCTGTACCCGCTCCCCCCCCCGCCCCCCCCTCTGGCAGTAATCCCATCCGTTACTACATCCCTCATTTAAAGTTTGGGTTTCCATTGTTCACAATTATTGTTCCATCCACACCCCAGCTCGCTGCTTCCAAAAGTGACTTCCTCGCCTTCACTACCACAACAGTGGCCCTTGACAAATCCCTCTCAACTTGCACTGAGCTGACCCTCATGATCTGTGTGCCTAGTCGACTTGGACAGACAGGCCAACTGCTGACTGACCCCTGGCCTGACTTATTGCAACTTCCCAAACTGGTTGCACTGGACCAGCAGGACTGATAATGGACCACAAACCCCCAGATTGTGGCGATGCAGTTCCCCTGACCACCCCATGCAGCCCAACTGACTGTGTCAAGCCCCTGACAGAAAGTGTACACTAGCCTTGAACTTAGTGCATTGGGAGTCCCTGGCTGAGGTCTACTCTCCACAGACTTTGAGACTTGACCATTTGACTTTCTGTCTGCCCTGGAAGGCAGGCAAGACAGGAACACTGAGGGTTTTTAAGCTCTGCCTGAGGGGGTCCAAAGTGCACAAAGGCGGGGATGCTGGGAGCAAAGTAGCTGGAAAGTAAGTTAGCACTAACTAAGAGGGTGAGCAAGAAACCCCGAGATGCAGTCCAAGTGAATTTATCAGTGGTGTGTCTGACCCTGCTCGCAAACTCTCCTGGCATCAACACGACAACGAAAAGTCCAGAGTGTGGCACTGAAGTGGGGAACTGTATTTTAAGTCCAACAGTGTGCAGATTAGGTGGATTGGCCGTGTTAAATTGCCCGTAGTGTCCAGCGATGTGCAGGCTAAGTGGATTAGCCATGGGAAACGCATGGCTATAGGGATATGGTAGGGGGCTGAGTCTAGGTGGGATACTTTTCAGAGGACCAGCACGGGCTTAATGAGCCGAATGGCCTGCTTCCACACTGTAGGGATTCTCTAATCCTATGAAGTGAGCCAGAGGTGCAGGGTGCAGTGAGGCTGGTAACTTTCCAATGCTAACCTCCATGGGAGAAGGTATGGCCAGTCACTGCCCAGGAAGTGATGTTGGGGACCGCTGTCTGAGATGGAGCAAATACCAAGCTGGAGGCACCAGGAGGCACTCTGCCTTCACTTTGGTGTCTAATTTCTACCCAGCCAGTGGCAGAAAAGGGAAGCTACATATGCCCTATCCTCCCATGCAATGACGCCCTGGTGTCTCCCTCTCCCTCCCTCTTTCACACTCACTGTAACTGGGCCACGACATTAATATTGCAGACTTTGTCAATGTGCTACTATCTCAGACATATCTTCCAGATGAAGCAGTGATTTACCTGCACTTCAGTCAATCTAGCCTACAAAATGGGGAAACAAAATGCAGACTTGGGTGACTGCTTCGGAAAATACCCAGGCCCTGTCTGTAAAATGACCCCCTAGCTTCCAATTGCCTGCTATTTTAATGCACCAGCTTGTTCCCATGCCAGCATTCCTGTCTCAGGCTTGCTGTGGTGTTCCAGCAAATTTCAGTGCAAGATCAAAGAACAACTATTTCCATTTGGGGACCGTGCAGCCTCTAGGATTCAACATCGAGTTTAATAACCGTAGAGCCGGATTCCATCTTTACACGAGGAAGGGTCACCGGACCCAAAACGTTAACTGTTTTTTTTCCTTCATAGATGTTGCCAGACCTGCTGAACTTTTCCAGCGGACATAATAGGAACTGCTGATGCTGGAGAATCCGAGACAACAAGGCGCAGAGCAAGATGAACACAGCAGGCCAAGCAGCATCATAGGAGCATGGCCTGCTGTGTTCATCCAGCTCTGCACCTTGTTGTCTCTTTTCCAGCAACTTCTGTTTATGTTCCATCTGTACATGTTTTTTTTCAAGCCATCTCCACAACCGGTCCCGGTCTGACATGGGTTGTGTACAGCAAAGCTTCCCCCATTCTTAGATATTATCATCACTTGTTCAGCTCTTGCTTGCTATACATTCATATCTCGTTTACATAGCTCTTTCCGTACATCTCTCTCTCTCTCTGGACTCTTGTCGCCATCTATCCATTCATCTCCCCACTGTGGCTTCAGCCTGAGGTAAACAGTTTCGAACTGTTCTGGTGAAGAGGCGCCACACTCGAAACATGAACTCTGCTTTGTTAGCTCCTCAGGTGAGTTTCTCTTGCGATTTCTGCTCTTTACCCGTCTGTTTCCTTTTTCAAGACAACAAGGTGCAGGGCTGGATGAACACAGCAGGCCAAGCAGCATCATAGGAGCAGAGAGGCTGACGTTTCGGGCCTAGACCCTTCATCAGAAAAGGGG